CTCTCTCTCTCTCTCTCTCTCTCTCTCTCTCTCTCTCTCTCTCTCTCTCTCACTCTCACTCTCTCTCCTGTGTAACGTTGGCATTTTACACCCCCACCGACACAACTTAGATAATTTTTTAGGCCAGCCTTGACCCTGTTTGTCTGGGATAATCCGGGATGAGAGGCCCAGCTAGCTGTAAGACCGATTTACAAGGCAAAAATTTTCTTCACACGAGAATCGAACTCGGGTCTTCTGCGCAAAACCGCTACACCACAGAAACACATCGGTTGCTTGGGGGCGTAAGGCATTTACATCTTTAGTTTAGTCTACCCGAACTAGCAAGCTTTTTTCGTTCTTTCACTTAAATGTTATTCTACAGTGTTACCGTGTGCTTAACTTTGACTTTTGCCTGAAATAGTACCAGCGTCCTTCTAATTGTTTCACCAATCTATCCTAGGGTAGCTTCGGTTTAAAAGAAAAGAAGAAAAAACAACAAAAGGTTGGCTTTTATTGACTATGATTTTGCTGCAGGCTTTTCATCTTTGTAAGCGACACGGTAGTCCATCTATTGACGCTATTACGTGCACTTTAGTACATATGAAAAATATAAAACGTGATTTATGCGGACGCTCTTTTGAATAAAACGGCCCGATTTAGTATTCACTGGGTGTTGATGAAGGAAAACGTACGCACCGTAACTAGCGGAAACGAGATTAGTTCGAGTCCTGGAAGATTTGCATATCTATAGGAGCTGTTCTGATCCGTGCTGTCATTACGGGAGATTGCCGCTGGGGCCGCACGCTATTCTCGGCCTTTTGGTACATAATTGGACCGTAAAGGGGGAGTCAATGCGCGTGCACTGGTTTGGTATCCGGGAGAATTTGGTACTTTAGAGTTTTAGTGGAGCACGCTGTAGATTTTTCTTTCTTCTTTCCTCCCTCTCAGCCATGAAAGACTGTGTCGACATATTACCCCTCGTTAGGTTGTGGTTGGTTGATAAGTGCGTAGGTGGGTAGGTAGATGGGAAGGTAGGTTGATGGGTAAATATGTTGGCAAGTAAGTAGTGCCTTGGTGAATTTTGAAACTTACAGGTTTCTAGTTTAATCAGTTCCTTTGATAATTTGTCTCAGTCCTGTTGTGCGCTTTTTTTTTGGGGGGGGGGCGCGT